ATAGAACACCAGCTTACGTGAATTCGCAGTCCGATTTACGTTACATTCACATTACTAGGTTTTTTGGCGAAGGGATATGCAGATTCTGTCGCACCCATTTACTGGCATGTCGGTTAGTGTTACCGCACGCAGTAACTGCAGAAATGAAGCCACTGCAGTAACCACTTCTCTCGCCTGGCGGCTTGCGTATACCATGGGGCTTGTCGTAGACCATCGGCTCGTGCGATTGTAGTCCCTGACATCCACCCTCCGTTCGGGGGGTCCTTCACGCGGGCTGAGACTCCTTTTATAAGCAACACAGGTTTGCCCCCATGGACCGTTGAGGCCATAGTCAGGGCATCAGGGACCCGCGGTCTTTATGAAAAAGGGGTAACTCGATGTAACCCTTTCTCACCTGACTTTAGCACCTATTAGAAAAAAAATCTTGGTTATATTGTGGGATGATTGTAAGAACATTATCGGGAAATAATTTTTTGGTTACTCGTGAGAGTACCTTTCTTGCTCTGGGGCGGGAGGCGCTGGGGGGCGGACATAGGGTCAAGAAAAGTATTGGTAGGTACCCACCCTTCCACGACGGAGGGACAGCCAGACTTCACTCGACGCGGCTACAAGCGTGGCCGACACACGCTCTGCACTCCCTTCCCTTCCCTCCCATCTCTCTCGTAGCCTTCGAATTGTCGTCAGATTAGAGGGCTGGACTATAAGAAATAAAACATAAAGTTAGTTATATAAGGGAAACCTTTTCCCTTGGACGCGCGTTTGTCGTCATCTATATATAACTCGTAAATAACATTTTTTTTTTCCCCGTCGAAAGAGACCTCCTCTTTTTCCCGTCCCGACGTTCGGGTGAAACTACAGATACGACACGTGCACGGGACCGAACGCACTACTACGGTTTCGGATTTCTACCCCGTATTAACCAATCATTTTGAGCTTACACCCCGTGCCATATACTAGACCATTGCAAAGCGACTTCACGTAACCCTTTAATCCAACGTTAGAAACTAACGGAGTCACCTATCAACAACGACACATAGGTTGTGTACTCGACGGTGTACCGTGATTACTAGTGTAAACCTCAACCCAAACTTCGCGTCGCCTGTTCATAACTACACAGATTAGTTTACGCGACCTCCGAAGACTATCCGTATGGATCCTTCCGTTTTTATATCCTCAATAAAATTACTTACATAGTTAAACCCGTTCAGGTCGGTCCGAACTTAGTTAAACATCAATCACTAAAAAATTCCGTCGGGGTGATTGAGTTTAGGGGGAGCTCCGGGTACACCGCCACGTTGTTCACGACCGCCGAAAACACCCGGCTACATATCGCGCGTTCTAGCTAACCCGTTCGCGATTTCCCGTCCTCCACTACAGACCGACAAAGAAGATTACTGCTTCACAGACCTTCTCTAAGTCTTTTGTAACAACACTATCGGAAAGTAACAACGGCTAAGTTCTTCCGGGGTCGTTTCTCGTCTCCATCTTAAAACACCTTATTTTTACTATGTAATTAGACTAGAGACTCCTAAATAAGTTTGGATTACTCAGGACGACCGCGAAAGAAACTTTATTTCCGTACTTAATGAGGTACTCAATCCCGACTTGGTAGCTAATTTCGTGCACCGTGAATCAAGTCTTCGATTGTTCAGTCACCGAATAATCCCAAATGAATACCCGAACCTTGCGAAAAACCATTTTTAGGTCCGGTATATTCGGCTCGCCTGTTGGTTAAATACTAAAATTAACAACTCGGAAATCCTGACACACCACACACACACAACACACACACACACACACACACACCACACACACACCACCCACACACACACACACACACACACACACACACCACACACACACACACACACACACAACAC